TAAAACACTTTAAACAGCCATGGCTTCCCCCAAAGAATTATGGGAACTGTAGTTTGCTAAGGGTCCTCTTAGGAGACTCCTGTTCTTCTTCCAGAGCTGCAGTTCTCACCAGTCAAGCCCTCTTCCCAGGGAACTCTGGAAATCGTAGACCTGGGAAGATAATAGGGGTCCATTAACAACTCTCAGCACCCTTGCCAAAATATGGCTCCCAGAATTCTTTGAGAGAAGAGACGGCTGCTTAAAGCAGCATCATGATGCTTTAAACGATGGTGCCTATATTGTTTGACGCCAGGTTGCCAAGGATGCAAATCAGGTACGACTCCTTTTCTTTTTTCCCCCCTCCAGGTTTTGCCAATTTTCCTTTCATGTTTTGGCAGGTGACTGGAATTCTTAAACGCCTTCCAGTTCCCCTGCTAGGGAGAAAGATTTTTTTTAAACACACACACACACACGTAAGTCAATACTCTTTAATGGCTTTCCAGCTGCCTCTATACTCAGGGCCTTGTTTGCAGACAGCCGTGTCAGCGTTCTAACCGAAATAAACGTTATTGGCCTCAAGTGCCAATACAGAATGGCTCCATTACAATTGCTGATATGCACACTTTGGTGCCAGAGATCACTTAGGCAAAATGAATATTGTTCCCCCCCCCAAAAAAAAACCCACACAAATTGCTCCTCGGAGCGCAGGAAAGAAAGGAAAGATTATGGGCTTCATTGTCTGATGAGCGACTCTGAGCTGGGAAGGACAACGTTCTCAAGATTGCTCTCTTTAATTCCAAATTAATTAATTCTGAATAAATACCACCCCTTGGGTTCGGTTCTCATAATTACCAAGGCAAGTTGAACGTTGCCGTTCGGTGTTTTAGGGTGCAACTGGGATTCCTTCGCGTGGGTTGCCACACGCATATCGAGACTTTCCTCTTTTGCAAATTTGGACCAAATCAAGTCCCTTTGAGGGAGCATTGACGTTCCATCACCGCTGGATTGGTTTGGTGGTTATATTTGAATCCTGGTCTTTCTTCAGGGTCAGCTCAGACTCTTTCCTAGCCTAGCCGTGGGGAATTCTTTTCAGCCCAAAAAAGATTTAGAGCAACGCGATTGGTTCTGCCGCAATTTTAACCGTCCCAATTTAAGTGGAACCTCCCAGAATTACAGGCGCCATTCTGGCCACTGAATGGATCCTGGAACATTGTTTTGTTTTTTGGTCTGGCACTCCAGTGTAAGTCAGCTGAGTCCCACAAGAGCTTGAGACTGTGTTTATGGAAGACAAACTGTGTTTATGGAAGACAATATTACTTGGCTACGAGTGATCGCCAAAGAAGAAGAAAGACATGTCTTTAGCCTCCGTCCAGGCATGCAAGAAGCCTTATCCGAGTTCAGGGACACTTTGTAGCCAGGCAAAAAGTCTCAAGGAAGATGCAGAGCAGGGCCATTGAGGGGGGTGTCCTGGGAAGAATATCAAGGCCAAGTAGAAAGGCCTGGGGACTGTGTTTGACCCTGAGGCCTGAGGTTCTCCACGCCTGATCCAGTCGATTCTTGTCTTCTCTGACTGCCAACAGGACTTAAGGGTCTGATGGCCAAACTCCATTAAATGCTGTTAAATGCATCTTTGAGACAGTTTGCTTAATGTGTAAATTACATCAGCTGCCAGGGCTGATAATTAAGAGGATCAAGATTTTCATATATATTTCCTTTTGCCTTTGTCTTCAGTGGTCTTGTAGGAAGCTTAAAGTTTACTGGGAAATGATATACAATGAATTGAAAAGGATGTTTAAAATAAAAACACCAGAAGGTTTTCTTTTGGGAATTATAGGGACAGAACTACCTAAATTGTATATAAATTTATTTATTTATTTATTTATTTATTTATTTATTTATTTATGCTACTACAACAGCAAGACTGCTACTTGCCCCAAAGTGGAAAGAAGCAGAAGTCCCAGCAAAGGAAGAATGGATACGAAAAATTATGGAATATGCAGAAATGGCGAAACTTACCGGAACAATAAGAAATCAAGTTAACAAACTTTTTATGAAAGAATGGAAATGGTTTATTGAATATTTACAAATAAATTGCAAACAGATAAAAACATTAGCAGGATTATTGTAATAACCTGCAGTTTCATAAGAGTATATATTTAAAGTAGGTAATTAAATGAGTAAATGAATTTGGATATGCAGAAGATATTAAAAAATAAATGTGAGGAACCACAGAAAGAGGGGGAAGGAAGGCAAACTTTGAAATGTTAAATTGATTGTAAAACTAATGAAAAGTATAAACTTGAAAAATATGAATAAAAACTCTCTCATTCACTCATCTTTTATTTTGTCCAAACTAAAACAAAAAGAGAGAGTGAAAGAAAAGAGGAGAAAGTAGTTAAACACGCATCCCTTCCATAATTGTGTGTGTGTGTGTGTGTGTGTGTGTGTGTGTGTGTAATATATATATATATGGGGGGCGGGAGCCCACAGCCCCATTGTCAACTCCTCAGTTGTATTCTGCCTGTCGCAACCCGCATCACTTTTTCCATTTAGGGACATCAGCTCTTGCAAAAGCTTTCAAATGCCGCAGGACTGATAGCTTCTGAACTCAAACAAGGAAATGTCAGCAAAGTTTGGGCTCAGCTGAAACCTAACAAACCTTCCCAACCGTCACGCTGACCCAAGAATAAGATGATATAAATAGCCTGGCAGCGTCCAAACCATCTACACCTAATGTAAGTCCGTTTTACGTCTTTGTGGATTAGTAGTTTGGAACGGGGCCATTCTCTGTGTTGAAACTTAGGTAGCTGCCTGCCAACAGAAAAAAGTACACTTTAAACTGTGAAACAAGCATCTGTCGCATCTGAAAAAGCAGAGTTCTTCCTTTAACTATGTAAATAATCCTTCCTCCACCCTTTTGTTTTCTTTCATTATTATTATTATTTAATTATCTTTCAGTGGCAGCTGCAAAAGAAAATTCAAGGTTTAGATTTCCTTTCCGAAATGCTGTTTGCAAACAGGGAAAGAAGACGTGAAAAATCCAAAAATAACAAGTGTCATCCAATTTATTGCCATTAATATAATGGGGGGTGGGGTGGGAAAGAGAATGATTTTTTATTCTTCCCCTTTGAAGCTACAGGAGTAGCTGGCGAGCTAATTTCAAGCCAGAACAATCACTCAATTTAAAATCTTCCCTTTAAGAACCATACGTTGTCAAGTTCTTCTCCATTTACTTGTTTGGATCCTACTCTTCCTTCCAGTAGGTCAGATTAGCTTATATTTATTCTGTTTATTTCTTATTGTGTTTAGATCCACGGGTGTAGCTGCTCCCCTAAATCAAGTAAATATATTAAAATACTTAACCAACTGACCAATCATGTTCACAGATCTGAACCAGGGTTGCAATGGTTCTAGCTCAACTCCCCAGCCATTACACCATAGTGGGTCCCAAGAAATTCCCTTTGGGGGCAATTTCCCATTTCGGTAGTAGCCAGGCACTAAACAGAGCTGCACATTACATTATAGGGATCAACTGAAAACCACAGCTGATGGCGCTTCTAAGCACCAACTCAAATTGGCAGAAGGATGCGCCCGGTTGCAACAGGAAATCAATAGGAAGTTCTGGAAAGTATCCAGAAATGTACATGGGTCTCTGTATCCTCCTCTTCCTCCTCCTCTCAACTTATTACATTTGGGAGGGACACAGGTGGCGCTGTGATCTAAACCACTGAGCCCCTTGGGTTTGCCGATTAGAAGGTCAGCAGTTCAAATCCCTGTGACGGGGTGAGCTCCCATTGCTCGGTCCCTGCTCCTGCCAACCTAGCAGTTCGAAAGCACACCAGCGCAAGTAGATAAATAGGTACTGCTGTGGCGGGAAGGTAAATGGCATTTCCGTGCGCTCTGGTTTCTGTCACTAGGTGTCCCGTTGTGCCAGAAGTGGTTTAGTTGTGCTGGCCACATGACACAGAAAGCTGTCTATAGACAAAACACCGGCTCCCTCGGCCTGAAAAACAAGATGAGCACTGCATCCCATAGTTGAATTTGCATGGATTTAACATTCCAGGGGTCCTTTACCTTTACTTTATTAGAGTTATATTTTTTATTCAATTTGTCACTCAATCTTCAGTCTAACCAGGGGTCAGCAAACTTTTTCAGCAGGGGGCCAGTCCACTGTCCCTCAGACCTTGTGGGGGGCCAGACTATATTTTGAAAAGAAAAAAAATGAACGAATTCCTATGCCCCACAAATAACCCAGAGATGCATTTTAATAAAAGGACACATTCTACTCATGTAAACACACGCTGATTCCTGGACCTTCCGTGGGCTGGATTTAGAAGGCGATTGGGCCAGATCTGGCCCCCGGGCCTTAGGTTGCTTACCTATGGCCTAAGGTCCCATGGCAGGTTACAGCCATTTAAAACACAACATTAAACACAGTTTGAAACAAATTGCAGTGCTCGCTCAAATGCAGTCCCTCCCTCACTTTGTGTGCAAAGTCTTGTTCAATATGTGAGCGATTAAATGAGCTACATTATTTGCATATTCGGTATTCTAGTGCAGCCATGCAGCTGATATATGTGTTTATACAAGGACATTGCAACATCTGGCAGTGCACATTTCCCGTATGGTAACCCATGGCACATTTCCCCCCAATATTTCCCCTCTCTTCTTCCTGTTAATAAACTTAATTGACCTCTTTTCTTTACCTTCCTCATAACCCCAATGTGCCTTTTTTACCACCTTGTCGGCATGCACACTGGTTTTCCGTTTGCCTCTTTTCATGAGCACAATTTTCAACTTTCTTCTCCTGCGGCCGCATTCCTTATTTTGCTCTTTTATATCTATCCCAATCTGCTGTTAGCTCTAGGAAAGTTTGAGGGATTTGATCTTGGCAATTCCATTAGGGACAGACCTGATCCACACCTCACGGACGAATGTGTGATTTGGAATGCAGAGAGCAAACCAAACCCGAATCATCATCATCATCATTTTATTATTTATATGCCACCCATCTGACCGGATTGCCCCAGCCACACTGGGTGGCTCTCAACAAAATATTAAAAACACAATAAAGCTTCAAACATTAAAAAGAACCTCCCTTATATTAATATTTTGTTGGAAGCCACCCAGAGTGGCTGGGGAAACCCAGCCAGATGGGCGGGGTATAAATAAATTATTATTATTATTATTATTATTATTATTATTATTATTATTAGACCACCAACTGCCCGGTGGATCCTCATCAACACTTAGATTTTAATAATGTTGGTGGTTTTTTTTGAAGGCACCTTTGTTTCTTATAAGCAGGGCTGCCCGGAGACATTTCGGCACCGGATGTGAATGATAAAATGATGCCTGTCAGGAGTGAGTGAAGATGTATATCAGAAAGAGTGAGAGAATAGGGATCCTCATTGGCACCTTTGTCGCCTGAGGCAGTTGGCTCACTTTGCCTCATGGGTGGGCCGGTGCTGTTTATAAGCCAACTTGGAAGGATGTGTATATTGAATGGTTGCCTATGAATAACTGCCAGGGCTTTTTTTTCAGGCGGAACTCACCGGAACTCAGTTCTGGCACCTCTTGGGTGGATGCCATTGCCATTCTAAGAGAGGTGTTCATGGTGAGTTCCAGCACCTCTTTTTCTAGAAAAAACAGCACTGATTAGATAGATAGATAAAAACTTTATTCGCATTAGCCAATGGCCATATCAACAATAAAACATTACCGTATAGGCAGAAAGGGAAATTTGATATAAGAGCACAATTTAAAGTCCTGAATCAGCAGTCAATTAGTGGCCCTTATTCTGATTGCCCCTGCTATGAACCTAGCCACCTTTGCTGTTATCTGCTCATTTTGATCTGATAGAAGAAAGGACATTGTGGCAGTGGTTGAGAGCCCTGGGACAAAGGTTGAGCGCCACAGGGGCAAAGACATTTCTCAGGCAGGATCTTTTGGAATCGACCCTCAAGTACCACAGATGGCAGAACATCCAGTCTTGCAAGTGTAAAAGCACGTCTGTATTTTGGGATAATAAGTTTGTGCAGAGAATCAAAATGGAAAGCTGGAAAATGAATATACCAAGGGCAAAATTTCCTTATACTGGCCAGGTTGTTCTGATGCTCGATATCTTTTAGACGTTGACCAATTAGACTGTTTGCTTTAGTAGGGCCCATAGTGAGTAGGAGTTTGTGGGGACAGCACTGATTAACTGCAATATTAAATATGTAAGACAGGACCCCCAGCTTGGTCCCACGACCATGGGTACCCGGGGTCCTGGGTGCCATTCACTGAAATTTGTGAGTTCCTGGCCCCTTCATGGGTAATTTTGTGGGTTGCTCGGGTCCCCGAGTCCTCAGAGAGTTGGCACCTATTATGCATGGTATTATGAAACAACAATTATATAATATACTTGATTATTATGTAATAATAAATACATAAACTCCAACCTGAACCTTTGGAAAGAGACCTGGGGAGGGGGGGAGAAGGAGACAGATACTGTAGGGAAAGAACGAATAAATAAACAAACGTAAGACGATACCCAAACCATGTAAGCCGAATGAAACGGAAGTGCAACCTGCCCGTTAATAACAAACATTTGCATACTTGAATGAGTTTCTTCAGCAGTAATCTCTTACAGGAACTTCTTTCATTCATGTTATGAGCGTCACAGCTCACAAAATGCTACTCAAGTGCATTGACCTGCTGGGCAAACATCGTCTTTAATAAAAACCTATGAACAGACCTTTTGTTTGCCAGTCGGTGTGTGTAACGTGTCACTTGAAGATGTAGCTGATAGCAAGCTTTAAAGCCCTGCTTAGGCCACTGACGTATTTAAAGATCCTTGCTTTCCGTTCGCCGGTCTGCCTCGATGAGGCAGGGGCAGCGAGGGGTCCATGTGTGGAAGTCAGACTAAGCTGGAGACAAAGGAAGTACAGTGGTACCTCGGGTTACATATGCTTCAGGTTACATACGCTTCAGGTTACACACTCCGCTAACCCAGAAATAGTGCTTCAGGTAAAGAACTTTGCTTCAGGATGAGAACAGAAATCGTGCTTCGGTGGCGCGGCAGCAGCAGGAGGCCCTATTAGCTAAAGTGGTGCTTCAGGTTAAGAACAGTTTCAGGTTAAGAACGGACCTCCGGAACGAATTCAGTACTTAACCCGAGGTACCACTGTATATTTAGCAGGGTATCCAAGGTCTTTTCTCAGGGCCCTAATAAGAATTGTGAACAATGAGTCGCGCCACTGATGTTTCTCCTTCCCTAATGACACAGAGTCATATTCCGCCTCCCCTGGCAATTATTTATAATGCAAACTGCCCTTGACAGCTTTTGGATACTTGCACAGGGAGGGGAGTTAAAGGCAGCAGACACCGAGATTTAGTGGGATGCGGGTGACGTTCTGGAAACGAGCCATTTCCCCCAGAAGAGCCAACACGCTAATTGCAAGCGTTGTTCAGATGCTGCTAACTGCCCGGGATCCCAATTTCGAAAGTCAGCCCGCTGCCGTGATCCATCCTGACAAGGGGAACGACGGTAGTGGCTCATCTCCAGCGGGATCCGCAGCCGCAAAGTACCAGCAGCTCCTCGGATTTTCTGACCGAAGAGATGATTTTCAGTTCATTTGGCAGGACTCGAGATGAAAACAGACAAAGAAGGTCGAGGAGGATAGCTGGCTTGCTTTCTCCAAGATGAAAAAGGAACAGTGGTCTATAATCAGTATTTATCTGTCTAGAGTATCAGGGTCCACTCCTAGGCAAATCAGAAATTGGCACTCCACCAAGTTTTTTTTTGGTTTTGAAATCATTTTTATTTGATTTTACAGATATAAATTGATAACAAAACTTAATACACATATCCATATAGAGAGATTTCTCTGAATCTCGAGACTTCCCCCCATCCCCTCCAGGGGTCCTGTTGTCAACATTTTCAACTGCATATTATTTCATGATCTGGGAGCTGGGCATGTTTAGCCTGGAGAAGAGGAGGTTAAGGGGTGATATGATAGCCATGTTCAAATATATAAAAGGAGGAGGAGGGAGAAAGGTTGTTTTCTGCTGCTCCAGAGAAGCGGACACGGAGCAATGGATCCAAACTACAAGAAAGAAGATTCCACCTAAACGTTAGGAGGAACTTCCTGACAGTGAGAGCTGTTCAACAGTGGAATTTGCTGCCAAGGAGTGTGGTGGAGTCTCCTTCTTTGAAGGTCTTTAAGCAGAGGCTTGACAACCATATGTCACGAGTGCTCTGATGGTGTTTCCTGCTTGGCAGGGGGTTGGACTCGATGGCCCTTGTGGTCTCTTCCAACTCTATGATTCTATGATTCTATGATTCTATGATCTATAATTTATATCTATCCATATTGTCTGTAGTATTTGTTGCATTACAAGTGAGATTACAATCCTGCTAATGTTTTCATCTGCTTACAGTGGCCTCCCAAGTAAATTATAAAATTTTCCTTGAAATTTTTGTCTTCTTGGTTCCTGAGCTTTCCATCCAGTTTTACCATTTCAGCGTCGTCTAACACCTTGGTTTACCATTCATCTCTGGCAGGGACTATTTCTTCTTTCCATCTCTGAGCTAATAGCATCCGTGCTGCTGTTGTCGCATACATGAAAAGACTTTTCTGTTCCTTTGGGAAGTCTATACCTACAATTCCTAATACAGTGATGCCTCAGGTTAAGAACTTAATTCGTTCTGGAGGTCCATTCTTAACCTGAAACTGTTCTTAACCTGAGGTACCACTTTAGCTAATGGGGCTTCCCGCTGCCACTGCATGATTTCTGTTCTCATCCTGAAGCAAAGTTCTTAACCCGAGGTACTATTTCTGGGTTAAGGGAGTCTGTAACCTGAAGCTTCTGTAACCCGAGGTACCACTGTAAGAAGGTTTCTGTTTGTTTTTTTGTTTCAGTTTTTACAAAAGTTACTTTAAACATTTTTTTCAATTTATTGTATATCATTTCCTAGAAAGTCTTTATTACCTTACATGACCACCACATATGATAAAAGGTACCTTCTTTTTCTTTACTTTTCCAGCAGGTATTTGTACTATTATTATTATGAGGTCCTGCCTATTATTTCTAGGATATAAGAAGAGCTATGGTGAATCAAAAACAAAAGTTTGTGGAGCTACAATTAGATGCTTTTGGAAAGTCCACAATCAGGGCATAATGGCTATATGCCTGCTCTTCAGCAATCAACCTTCTGTGACTTACTAGCTCTGAACCTAGATGTTTCTTCTTCTTTGGCGATCACTCATAGCCAAGTAAGATTGTCTTCCATGAACACTGTCTTAACAGTGAGTCCATAAGTGACTATGGAGGCCAATTCTGGATCCACACGTCCTTCCACAGTGGGGACATAGGTTTCCAGGTGGGAGTTGATTTGCCAAGCGTGCCTTCCTTTTAGCACATTTCTCTCTTGCGTCCTGAGTTTGAGTGTCTTCAAAGCCCATGACACCTTTGGTAAAGGCTGTTCTCCAATTGGAGCGCTTGCAGGCCAGTGTTTCCCAGTTGTTGGTGTTTATACTACATTTTTAAAGGTTTGCCTTGAGAGAGTCTTTAAACCTCTTTTGTTGACCACTGGCAATACGCTTTCCATTTTTAAATTCGGAATAGAGTAGTTACCTAGAGGTTTCATATAGTCCTTGTGGCTGGTAGTATCCATCGAGAAATTGATATTCCATTTAAAGCATGCTTCCTCAAAATCTGCCCTCCAGATGTTTTTGAGACTACAATTCCCATCATCCCTGGCCACTGGTCCTGCTAGCTAAGGATCATGGGGATTGTAGGCCAAAAACATCTGGAGGGCTGAGGTTGAGGAAGCCTGATTTAAAGTCACCTTGGATAAACTCCAGCTATTCAGGATGCATAACTATTCCACTATTTGCAGATATTGTAATGACTATTTCAAATGCAGAGAGACCCAACAAATGAACATTCCTCCACTGTTATCTCTCCGCAAGGTTTCTTACACTTTGATAGCAATAACTTGCCTCTTTGCTACAACCCCAACCACCAGTACTCAAGCAAGAACCTGACTATTTGTTACACTTGGGACTGTCAAGCGCCGGGCAGACCTTTAAACCGCTGTGTGAAATCTGGCAAGCTCTCAAGAAGCTTTATTTGTCTGAATAATGGATGGAGCCAG